TGGGGACGCGAGGAGGCACTGGCCCGACTCTGCCACCTGCAGGGCAGCCCGCTCCCTCCCCGCAGGTGCTCACGTCCACTGTGGCAGGAGACACTCGTGGGGAGTAGATGCATCACAGGGTTAATCCCCCTCAGCCCTGACCAAGGCTTCCTTTCTCACCTGGGGCTGAGGGACGGTGTAGCCACCACAGGCAGCGACCTCGGACCGTCCGCGGGAGGGCAGCGGCCGGGGCGCCCGCTCTGGGCTGAAGTTCGCAGGAACACTCCCATGACGCCGTCGGGGCCGCCTCACTTGGACACCTTGGCCTGCAGGGTGCTGGGCAGGTAGAGGTACCTCCAGATGGCATAGTAGTGGGTGCCGGCACCAAAGGCCACAAAGAGGTGCCAGATGGCGTGGGCGAAGGGGACCCGGCCGTCGCTCTTGAAGAACACGGTGCCCAGGCAGTAGAAAGCCCCTCCGGTCACCAGCTCCCAGAGGCCCTCGGTGTTGGGCTGTCGGCAAGGATGGGGTTCGGGGGGGCCGGTCAGAGGAGCAGCCAGGAAGGTGGGGAGCGCCCGGCCATTCCCCCCACACCCCGAAAATGAAAAGACCTGGTGAGCCGCCCGGGCTCCTGGGTGGGGCGTCAACACCGTGATGTCGCCACTTCTCCCGAATTAATTCTCACATGTGATGCGTTTCCATTAAAACCTCAAGGGCTGTTTTAGAGCTTTTTACCTTTTCTCACAAGTCAGACCCCTGGCTCCTGCCCAAAGGCAGTGAAAGCCGGGGGGGAGCCAACTACCACATCCGGGTTCCCAGAGCATCATCCCACCCGCCCACACGGGAAGGAGCCCAGCCTCCACCTGGATGTTGGGTGAACAAACTGGTATTTGTGCCCTGGTTGGTTAGCTCAGTGGTTAGAGCATCAGCCTGTGGACTGAAGGGTCCCGGGTTTGATTCCAGTCAAGGGCATGTACCTTGGTTGCAGGCTCAATCCCGGCCTTGGTTCAGGCGTGTGCGGGAGGCAACCAGTTGGTGTCTCTCTCACATCGATGTTTCTCTCTGTCTCTCCCCCTCCCTTCCACTCTCTCTAAAAATCAATGGAAAAACATCCTCGGGTGAAGATTGTTTTTAAAAAAGGACTCGAGTATGGGAGGGAGGGGCCGAGGGGGGGAAGCCGCCGTGCCGTGCCCATGCCCCAGGCCCACCGCGTGCAGGTAACCCGCACGAACAGTGTTCAGGATGCTTCCGGAAGCCGCCCCTGCACGCACATACACGTCTGCATACACAGCGCGCACTTCATGGACGCATGTGTCCCAGGAACGCACCACGCGAACCAGGGAGCTCCCACCGTCCCCTCTGCACACCCATCGCCACCAACGCCGAGGGCGCTCAGCTCCGTCCGGCGGCCTCGGCTCCGAGCAGCCTTCCACTCAGGGACGCACCCGTGGCCCTGGGAGGGCTGGGCCC